TGCCGACCGGCAGTAAACGTCATTTACAAACAAGCAATACAGCAAGTACATATATAGTATAATTTAATTATTTAATTAAAGGCCCGCTATGCTATGAACAAACTTGAGAAAGGCAGGCAACTTCAAATGCTATACATATTTACCTTTGTATCAAGAGGGCTATAAATGAAAGTTATTAAATGCGAACATCAAACGCTCACCAACTTGTTCATGCGAAGTACTCGTTTTACTTTGCTTCCAACTGTTTTTTGAAATGGTAGATGTTGAAAATAACTCTGAACATATATATATATATAATATATAATCAGTATCTTATACACATCTAGATGTGTATAAGAGACAGACTCTGAACATATATATATATATATATATTTTATATATGTATGTACATATTATACGATTCTTAATATTGATATTAATTTCAATATTTTTATAAGACAACTATTCAAAAGGTGATATTTCTCGCAATTGTACATTAGCAGAATGGTGAGCTTGTAAAAATTAGTCTAGTTAAAATGTGTTATTTACCGTCTTCGATATTTTGCATCACAATATCCTGAGGATTTTCATTTTTTGAAGCAACTTCTTCTTCATATTGATCACTTCTGACTAGAATTCCAAATTGTGGGTATCCAACACTAACTGCATTTACATTAATATTAGTGAAGTGTTCACGATCGATTACTTCCTCCATTGAATCGGTCTGCTCCACCTCACAGAGTATGTTTGACTGGGACATCCTGATAGTAAGTATTTTTTGACTATTTTAAGTTTAATTTTTTAACAACAATCCTCAAAGAACCACAAGTTTTATACATAAGTTTGATGTAAAATTTGATTATCCTCCTTTTTAATCAAATGAAATTCCTGAGTTCTGGAGCTTGACTAATTTAGACGATCATTTTGAATTGATGAATATTTCTGTGGTTCCATTAAGTTTTGCTACTAAAAGAATAAAATTTAAATAATTTTTTTTTTTTTAATTAACTAAAATAAAATTTTATTAAAAGCTATAAAAATACAACAATATTTCTTAAATTTACTACCGAAATTTATATTTCTCACAAATTCATTTACTAAAGATCGTTTTAAATATTTATGCTTTAAGAACCTTTCTCAAGAATAAAAGAAACAAGCAAACAGTAGCCAATTACCAATTATGATTCGACTTATAATTTATATATGAATTTGAGAAAAATCCTCTAGTCCAGCTAAAGTAGAGGGGCATACAAAATCTCTTCTTCCTGGTAACATGTTTTGCATAAAACTCTGGGGGAAGGGGTGCATATCTACTCCTGCTATTGCTAATGAGGTACCTGGCGGTAGGTTTCAAAAGCCAGGGTTAGAGCTCTCCCTATAAATAAACTCAACATAGAGGACCAAACAGATGGAAAGCCGGCTGGGATATCAGCAAACTCGTCGGTGGGAGAAATGGCTGCTACCACCGGCGGGCACACTAAGTTGTGCTGTGAAGGGAGCACATAACAGTAGTTGCAATGCTACTACAAACACCGCTTTGCAGCGTAGAGGTGGTTACATGCCGTGAAGAATCACACCTTTAAAGCGTTAAAAGCGTGAATACAATGAAATAGGAAGGCCTGCTCTGCCCTCTGGGAGATGCTAAAGGTGTTAAGTCGGCGATAAACACTAGGCCCAAGGTTAAACACAGTAAGGAGGGGTCGAAAGCAAACGAAAGGGTTGGCTGCTCGCCCAACTTGAGGAAAAAGGAAGGTTGGGTTGGAAGAAGACCGGAAATATTACGCTTGGAGGTCGCAATTCACATCCTCTGATCTGAAACTCGCAAACCGGATCGAGGAAGGAATTGGAGCCAAAAGGCCAAATCCTATTGAAAATCAAACAATGGTGCCAGCGAGACGACCAAGAAAAAACGACGCTGTAAAGCCAAACGTCAGACTCGATCGAGAGAAACCCTCAACGACTGCTGCGGCAGCGAGTTAGTCAAGAGACATTTGATCGTGTCTCTCATCGACACAAGCAACCCCTTTGGACAAGTCACAGCGACAGCGGTGGAGATGAAACAGCTTGACGAGCTCTTCGACAGACTAGATGGAGACCCGGCCACGCCTTTGGCAACTTTCGATGGTGTTTGCTGGCTCAATATTATATTAAAACGAAAGTCGTTCTAGAAATAATGGAACGCAGTCGCAGTAAGAAATCGCTGTAGGCCTGGCCAACACTTTTGTTGTAGCGACAGAATTCTGCCGAGTTGACAGTACTGGGCCGGAGATTTCAGTATAAAGCTCTGTGGTAAATTAGCTGCAAGGTTGGCGGCATTGGGTGAACTCTCTACAAGTACTGTCGGACATAGCTCAATCACCGGGCTGCTGGTGGACAAATTAGACCACATACCCAAATGCTTTATTTGGGAGAAAAGGTTCCAAGTCACACTGAAGGAAAATGAATGGCGCAAAAACCTGCAACACACCATAGGATCCAAAATGGCTAATGGAGCGTTCGAAGGCAAGCTAAGGTGAGAATGCGAAACATCCCCTCCACAGGGAAGTACGTTGGAAAAAGAACAAGAAGCTTGCTGTTGTTAACTCGGCTATAATCGAGTAAGCGATGTCTACGCCAATAAAGAAGACAAAAAACAAATTTAAAAAATGTCGTGTCCTTGAGAAAAAAGATGTAACATTTCTCCCTATATGACGAACAACAGTAAAAATCATCCGAATGGTTTTCTTTGACAGGTATATACTAGATATTGATTAAATCCGTCGTACATCAAATTATCCCTATGAGTGCATTCCCAGGTAGCAACCCTATCTTGACTAAGCATATTAAATATTAAGAAGTGCATATATTGACTCAACAGTGTGTTGCCTAATGAACTCCTTCCTGCTAGTATCAAGAACCTTCTTCGCTGTACGATTTCAGTTCACAAAGGAGTTTCGGAAAAAAAATAAGAGTGGAAAGTATCAGACATAGACTGCAAGCATTACACTCAATGGCTAATTAGAGTTGGGAAGGTACATCCTCAAATTACGATAGTTATGGGAATATTTTTGAATAGCATCCGCGGAATAAAATCGCTTTTTGAGAAAGTTTTACAAAAAAATTTGAGTACTGCAAGCAATATTGAATGAAGATAATACTTTGAGTCAAAAGCAAAAGTCAGCCATGCTAAATGTTGCACAACAAATAATTGCAGACTAAAAGTGTGGGAAAAAGGTGCTACATGAATTGAATGAAAAACAAATGGAAAATCAAAAACCATATTCAAGTGGAAACCCATCTCTAGTTCAGCTGTGGAATTTCGTGCTCTTGCAAATTTTTATTTTTTAATTATTTCAAAAAAGTGTTTTGTTGCTATTTTAATTTAATTCGCAGAGTTATTTGCAATTTACTTTTGTTGCTAAATTTTTAAACAGTGCAATTGTTAGTACCACTTTACATTATGTTTACTTAAGTTTCTTTCTTGTATTCCCTCGTTTTCCATCTGTTTGCGTGTTCTTATTGTTCATGTGTTACAGTGCATCTCAAATAGCTCGCTACATTGGTTTTGACAATTATTATCTTATTGCACTTATTTCTTATCAATATTTGTATGCTCTTGCAACCTGTTGCAAATTATAATAGTTTCGTTTCGTTCAAACGTATTCCCAAGAACACAGATTGGTTTTCTTATCGGGATGCATTAAAACAAAATCTGCTGGGGGACGGGAAGTCGGCCAGAGGTACGTCGGCCCTGAGTCTGGAGAGCAGGCTATCTGCGCTGAATCAGGCCATCACAAATGCGTACCACTGCAGCTGCCCCCTAAAGACGATCACCAAGGGACTCAAATGCCCCTGGTGGTCTAGCAAACTCTCTTTACTCAGATCTAAGGTGCGCAAGCTTTTTAATAAAGCCAAACGAACTGGGATCTGGGAGGATTATAAAAGCAGCCTAACTGCTTACAATAAGGAGATTAGGGCTTCTGTGAGAACGTCTCCTCAACACCATATGCAGATAGGCTGCACAAAGCTCTGGCCAAGGGGAAGACGAACACAGACTTAGCGATTCAAAAAGGTGATGGGACCTACACGACAAATGCGGAGGAGAGAGCGGCGGCACTCCTACGAGCGCATTTTCCGGAGACTGTTGCGGTGGACCGGTGCCTACCTATAGTAGAACCACGGCCACGGCCTCGTTCGCTAAATTCAAGTCCCCGGGAGCGGACGGCATCTTCCCGGCACTTCTACAACAAGGTGAGCAGACTCTACTGCCACACCTTGTACATGTGATGAGAGAAAATATGGCGCTGGCGTAGATGCCTGAACCCTGGAGGATAGCTAAGGTGATCTTTATCCCGAAGGTGGAAAGGCAAGACTATTCGCTGGCTAAATCCTTTAGACCGATCAGTCTAACCTCCTTCTTGCTAAAAATCATGGAAAAGATCATAGACCAGGAAATAAGATCGAAGGCTCTTATAACTGCGCCCCTGCATGCAA